CCTATCACCACCCTTTGTCCCCGACCACGGAGAAAAGAGGTAAGCCATTGAAGGGCGAGCCCCTGAATCCCCACGTCGGCAAGACAGTGGGCCAGCAGCTGATGGTCGACTACATCAAATGCAGCTGACAGATCTAACAACAGCAGTCCTGCCACACCGCCTTGATCCAGATGTCATCGGAGGCGGAAGCCGGACTGGAAGGGATCTAGGACGGAAGCGTCATCCAGAAAGCCCTGCAGCTGTATCGCCACCGCCCTCTCAATAAGTTTGCCCAAAAAGGGCAAATTGGACACCGGCCGATAGTTGGCCAATTCGGCCGGGTCCAAAGAAGGTTTTTTCAAGAGAGGGCGGACCATCGCTTCCTTAAGTGCCTCCGGGAACCGCCCCTCGGAGAGGGACGTGTTGATAATTTCCCTAAGCGCACCTCGCAACCCCTCGCGACCCGCTTTAATGAGCCAGGAGGGGCACGGATCAAGGTTGCATGTGGTTGGGCGCACAGCTGTGAGCAGTCTGTCAACTTCCTCCAGACTGAGCAGGTCAAAGTGCTCTAAACCCGGCACTGAAGACGTGCAAGGGGCCTCGAGTTCACTCACTGTCTCAACTGTGGCGGGGAGGTCACGGCGGAGCGCCAAGACTTTATCTGCGAAATAGCTCGCGAATGCCTCGCAGCCAATGTCCAATTCCCTAGCATTTGGTCTGCCCTGCGGCACTCCATCTTCCATTTTATCCCCACAATTTATTTATTTATTCATTCAGGTATTTTCTATCTTGCTTTTCTCCCTAAAAGGGGACACCCCCCCAGTGGCTTTTAATCGTCTCCCCATCCCCCTTTCAAAGTGTCCCCAGATGGCCAAAGAGAACAGTACTGGCATTTTGAATTATCAATATATGGGAGATGGGGATTAGCCCCATTATCTGCTATAGACGCATGTAGGGAGGGACCTCCGTAGGGATCCTAGGATGGAGATTTGTAGCCTGGAGCCACCACAGCTGCCCAGCCCAAGACTCCCTCTGGGTCCCCATCACATGCGACCCAGACCCCGACCGAAGCTTTACATGAAAACAAATCACCACCATGTTGCCCCAGGGTTGCTTTCTGGCACTGTGCATGATGTATCATAGAGCACTGTACAGCAGATTGAGAGCCAGGGTGGTGTAGCGGTTAAGAGTGTCGGAATAGTATGAGAGACCTGGGTTCAAATCCCCACTCGTGACATGGAAACTCACTGGGCGCTCTTGGCCAAGTCACACTCTCTCAGCCTAACCTGCCTCACGGGGTTGATGTCAGGATAAAAGGGAGAGAGAATGATGCGATCTGCCTTGGGTCCAGTGTTCCTTCTAAGCCGTGCGCATGAGCAGCCGCTCATTAACCCAGGAAGCCCCACTCAACAGCAGTCTGGAGCCTGGCAGGGCCTTGCACCGCCCACTGCCCACTTTTAAACAGCAGTTATATTCTGTGTGAACTGCTCCGCTCAGTAGCAGAAAAGAATTAGAGGGAACATTGCTTTCTCCGCCCCCATCTATTCCAGTGATTGTAGGAATGTGCTATAATGACTTGGGATCCCATACACTTCTTTGTAGGCAAGTTGCACCATTGCAGCTCCTGGTTCCGGGGCAAGCCTAAGCAGGTTTACTCAGAAGTAAATGTACTGCGTTCAACCAGACTTACCGTGTTTCCCCGAAAATAAGACACTGTCTTATATTTATTTTTTCTAAAGAAGACACACTAGGGCTTATACCACAAATGCATAGAAATCCTGCTAGGGCTTATTTTTTGGGTAGGTCTTATTTTCGGGGAAACAGAGTACTCCCAAATAAGTGCGGAAAGGCTTGCCAGAGTTACTCTCTCCAACCACAAACACTGCAAATTGGCAACCTGACATTCATCTGAAGCCCGCGAAGAATTAAGCTACGCCAACACGTGTCCTTCCGTACGGACACGCGAATGCACTGGCGCTGCCGTTTGAGTTTTGACAGCAGCAGACGAGCAGGCCCATGGAACTTGTATATGATCTCTTCCCCGCTTTCTGCGTGCATCTGGCCCTACTCCGTATAAGAAATGCGTGCCACAAAACCGAAACTTTCTGCTGTTTAAGCGACAACAGGCTACAGCAGTCACGTCTGTCTCCTCCAAAAGCCTCACAGAGCACCACAGCCTCTCGCAGACAACCAGGTCCATGTGGGAGCCAAGAGCGAGCGCGCGTCCCGCCCCCTTTCCTCCGGGCGCGCGTTGCGCTTCCCCTTTAAGAAGCGGTGGTTGAAGTGGGAGTCTCCTGCTTTCACACCTTGGGTGGGAAAGGGAGGTGGGACCTCTCGCCTCTGATTGACGGCCTGCCAACCTCAATGGAACGTTGTGTATCCAAACGAGATGAGGCGGCCCGTCCAATGGGGAGGCGCGCGGGCGCGCCGTAGAACGCAGGGCGACCAATGGGGAGGCAGAGGTGGGCGGGGGAGGGGGACGGAACATGTTGCAATGTGTCCAACGTGGGTTTGAGTTGGGAAAGCGACGCTTGGGGGGTTAGAAAGTGGGTTTTGTGGACGGGGCAAGGGGTGGGGGTGGGGAGAGACGGTGGCCGTCCGTAGGGGTGCGCCCGGGAGGATCGCGCTAATCGCTTTGGCTGGCAACGCTGCTCTCGGGGTGTGTGTGAGATCCAGCCCCGGGTAGCGGGAGTGGGAGGTGTTGGAGGGGGCTGAGGGAAGCCAGAAAGGGAAAGTTGCAGAGGCGGAGATAAAGCACCGCTTTGCTCGCGCTAGGAAAGGTGTCTGAGCCCCGGGAGGGGGAGAAAGGGCTGGAGGATCGGTGTGCGGCGGTGCAATAACCCCCCGCGTCGGCTCGATCCACGCGGAGCTGAGAGCTTTCTTGGACCGGAGGAGGAAAAAGGAAGGAGGAGGAACTTTTCTGCTGGGAAGGAAAGCAGGACGCGGATCCGCCGACTTTTTTCTGCAGCTCCTGCCGGATCTTCGCAGCGGCAAGGCGATCATCCGTGGAAGGGGCACCTTCTCCCACTGCGGGATCCGGACCCTTCTTGATTATGCGAGTCGTGTTCTTCGAGGAGGAGGAGGAGGACGACGAGACTTGGGGCTGGCGCTGATGGCAAGAGCTTGAGAGGCTTCGTACTGCTCCCCCCCCCCCTCTTTTTGAGTGCCACTTTTAAAAACTCCAGCTTGCTGGATGAGCCGCTTCTGGGCTGCTTCCCTGCGGAGCCCCCCCTCTCCCCTTTCAGCAAGCCTTGGATCTGCACAAACTCAGTTATCGCACCAAGAAACTTAAGGAGCTGCTGCAGCCTCGGCTAGGCTGCGATGCTAGCAAGGAGTGCAGCAGGCCTAGAAACTAACGCCTGAGTGCCAAGAGATCCGGCCTGAAAAACTTGGCCTTTAATACTTTGATTTCCCCCCCCCAAACTCCCCCACTTCTTTCGTAGGATTTATTCCTGTCCTCCTGTCCCGGTATTGGGAGTTTGGTCCCTAACTTCGCATCCAGGATACAAAATGGCGCTGCCGGGATGGGGAAAATTGGGGTCGTTGCCGTTTTTTGATTTATTTTGGACTTTCCTCTTGGTCGTCCAAATGTTCACGGGATTCGGCTCCTGCCTGGAGCAACAGCTCTGTCCCTCCAACTGCACGTGCAGAGCTGATCTTCTGGACTGTAGTAACCTGGGGCTAGAAGAGGTTCCTGTAGAAATGCCCACCTGGGTAGTCTCCATGTAAGTTTCTCATCTCTCTGAACTTTGAGATCTGAAGGCTGCATGTTGCTGTTTTACGGCTTCCCCCCCAGCCCCCCCCCCGTTAATTTCCTTTTATAAAAAAAGGTCTTCTTTGAAGGGCAATCCCTGGGCAAAATCTACCCTTTTCTTCTTTGCAGTGTATGATTAATGTTATGCTCAGTTTCCCCCTCATTGACGGATCCAGTTGTAGCTAGTTGCTGAGCAACTAACTCTGTGAAATCCCTTTGGGGGTAGAGAGTTCTCATATCCTTGTGGAAAGATCCCGGTGGGAATTAGAGGCTAGCTTGTTCCCTTCCTAGTTAGAGATGTTCAGCAGAATTGTAGGACTAAACCTTTTAAATGGGAAACTCATATCCTGATTTCTTTCTTTTTTGCAAGTTTAATACGAATATTTGCTACCCAAGCAATAGGATGTGTGTTCCTTCTAAACAGTTACTTATCTGGATTGCAATCTTGTGTCTTTAATGTGGCATATGCTGAAGCAGTTGGCAATCTTTTAACTGGATCTGTTGTAGACGTGGGAAATTTTGCACACATAAAGTTAGATACCTGGTGGTAGTCATTGGGTTTATTTGCATGTGGATGTTCTGGCAGATCTCACTTCTGTAGACCGCAGTTCTGAATAGATCCAGTCTCCCTAAAGTTCAGAAATAGCTGGGGAGCGGTAAGGGCACCATCTAATAAGAATGGGAAAACCCGTCAACTTCCCTCTCTCGTCCTCCGAAGACCTCACACTGTACATGACCAGGACTTTTAATTGTACACAAGATCCAAAACTGGGAAGTGAGTGATAATAAAGTGCAAGTCCCCAAGGACATAACATGCTATATGCTGGCTATTATATTCCAAGCACCTGTAACAGCAACTCTTGTTGTCTTGGTGTGTTTCAAAGAAGGGTGATTTTAGATGCTAGGACACATACTTCTCTCTCTCTCTCTCTCTCTGTTTTTTTTTTTAAGTAGCTCTGCCTAAGATTACGTATCTCATGTTTCCCCTCTAGTTCAATAATGAAAGTTGGAAAAGGGCTGTGAGTAAAAGGTCGCTGTTTGCCTCTTCCAGACAAAGAATAGTCCTTATTTCTTGCATGACCTGCTTCCTTGTATTTTTAGGGAATTAATAGCTACACCTCAATGGGGGAAACCAACCTGATGATTTTTGGAGGTTTTCTTTCTTTTTTTAAAGCAAATCGTTTGCAGATGTAGGCCACATGCTTTCCCCTTGGGTTGTTGCACACTGGACCCTTTATCTGTTAGAACACTTCTGTGAGAGTCTCTTCCAGCAACTTGTGGGAAAATGCTTAATTCCTGTTGTTTTTACAATGGGGACCTATGTGGCTTGACTTCAGATTAAGGTATTCAGCCTGGGTAAAAGAAAGTGCCCAAGAAAGATATTAATCAGTTCTTAAATCCAGAGCCACAATTCTAGTATATGTGAAATTATTTACCATTGGCTGCAGTAGTACTTATTTCTGGGTAAACTGGGAAGAATTGAAGTTTATGATGTGTTATTGGATAATAACCTCACACTTTCCTCTTTTCGGTGGGAGTATATTGTACGTAACCTGCAACTAGATAGTGCTCTTAAAACTTCTATATAACTGTCTTGGATTGTCAGAAGTTAGATTTTTTTCTTTTTCCAAAAAAAGTGTACCTTGGAAACTTAATTCTTTCCATGCTGCATAGCATTCCAGTAGCTGGTGCTTGCCGGCTAGAATGGCGGCAGTAGGCTTTTAGCAAAGAGCTCCTTGAGTTAAAAGTATACATAAGTCAAGTGTGGTATTCTACTTATAGATGTCAAAGCAGTTTCACACACAGTGGTAACCTGAGAAACGTCAGAGTGAGCGTGATAGAAATGGGGCAAACTCAAAAACGAAACACATGGGCATCCAGAGGAGAGAAATCAAGACAAAATAGTTTCCTTTTGTCACTGCCTTGCAAAAAAGCTTAAATGAATCTATATATTTATTACATAGAAAAAGTGTTTCAGCAAGTCATGTGCTGTTGCACAAATGAAAGTCTGGAATAAGTGACAATGAAAGATCAGTAGCTTTTTGCCATTTTCAGCTAGGTGCTTGAAGACATATGGCAATTTTAATGCTAAAACGACTCCTTTCACTGATAAAAAAGGAAGTGTTAGTGCTGTTCTCTCTGTTTAAACTTATTGAGTAGCATTCTAGATCTGTCATTACTGTATATGCATGCACACGCACACCACTGTAAAGTTTAAGCTAGGTACAATCTTTCATGACCGTGAGAAGAGGATGGCCTGATTTTACGCCCATCACAGGCCTGTGTCACAGTGTGAATTTTTAATTCAGATTGATGCCATTATAATTTAGTTGTGTCAGTCTCGGGAGTATAATTTGTTTTTACCACCACGATAATGATGTTGATATCTCAGGTTATTTACTGCTATGTTTCTCACACAACAGTCTGGGAGGGTGTTCTGAACTGCTTCACCGGAGAAGTACTCTGCTGCTACAGATCTGTATATCGTCAGTCTTTACACTGGCTGAAGCACAAATGTAAATGCTTGCTGATCATTACTTGAGCCCGATTTTCCAAGCTAAACTTTTTTCCTTGTGTGTGTGCGCGTGGGGGGGGGGAGATTTCACATCTGGAAACATGCACTGTTGTTCGCTGACCATGTGCGCTATTAAAGAAGCTGCATAGTTCAGAGACAACTAATGCTATGCTGTTGCAGAAGAGTCTGGCTACATGGCATTTTATTACTTTTCATAGGCGGACTGCATTTTGACAGTAGTTCAAGCCCTGGTAGTATATCACTGGTAGTGTTAAATCTTGCACTGAGTATTTACTTGAGCTGTACAGTAGTTGCAAGTGCTGTAAGGCATGGAAGACGCTTCTGTTTTGGAGCCTAGCTCTTTCAGACACCCGAACTTTTTATTCATATTAACTCCTGTATAGGTCCCCAGCCAGTAACATGAATTGTCCCCCTGTGATGTGTTAGGATAAGTTATAAACCCTTTCATTACTCCTCTGGAAGCTTCATAGGAGAAGCTGTGCTTGTCTGTTGTAGCTAAAACAGCCAAGAAGTCCTGTGGTACACACTGAATGAACAGGTTTGTGAGGCTGTCATCTAGTTTGGCAGGTGCTTGAAGTAGCCTAGGAAATCCTCCTTACAGTGGGTTCTAGCGGATGAAAATGTACACCTCAAAAGGCGCATTAGCCTTCGAGGTGCCACACAATTTACTTTTTTAAAAAATCAGAATTTATATTTTATTTACAGATGTTGCTGGTAGAAGAAATCCTCTGGCACTGTTTGGCTTTAGTTGAAGCCTTCGGACGGCTGGATTAACTATAGGTTTAGTCTTGGGTATCTCTGCTGGAGCTTCCTGGCAATGGGTATCGACTAATTTTCTGAACTAAGCTGTTAATGGTGTGATCTAATTGAAAACTGAATAACATTTGAATGCATAGGAGAAATACAGTCACTAGAAGTTATCACATGACATTCATATTCCTCCCCCCTCAAACAAATAAGTATATTTCAACTCTCTTTCTACCTGCTCAAGGACCTTGAATTTAGTTGTGATTCTTCCTTTCCATCTAACACTCAGTTGATGCAAGAATAAAATGAATATGATAAATACTAAACTGGGCTGCAAGATGAAGAGCTTTTTGCTTTTTTTCTTCTGTAAAGCCACACAGGTTTTTTTTTTAAAAAAGGGTTTTAATTAGATTAAATCAGAATGAAAAGCACTTAAAAATGTACACATTTTCAAAGTGTAATATTGCACAAAGAGAATTCTGGTATATCTGAACAAATGGCTTGTTTGTTTTTTTAGATATGTACTCCTTGCCTTTCTCCCCAGTGGGGACCAGCTCTGTGAGGTTAGTTAGGCTGAAAGACAGAGTGACTGGCCTGTGGTCATCCACTGAGGTTCCATGGGAGAAGTTCCATCTTGGAATCTCTGAGGCCCGTGTGTCCTGTCAGGTCACGTGTTGCTCGTGGAAGCCTCACCAGGCCAAGGTGCTAATTGTTTGAGCCTGTCCAACCATAACTTGGATTCAGCACTGCCATTAATTGCATACCCATGAGATGGACTTTCCAGTAAGAGCCCTGATGAATGCATTTACCAGATAGTTTCTTAGGGAGGAGAAAAGGGTATTTTATTATTATTGAAGGTTACAGTCTATTTTATATTTGTAGCACTGCCCTGGGGCTAAGAACTTACATTTGAGTAAGAAGGTTTTGGACCTTGTTCTCCAAGGCCAAAATGGAACTCTGTCGCCCCTTTTGACATGCTCCGGTATATGGGTCCAGATCCAAGGTTTCAATATTGTCAGTGGACAAGAAGCCATAGAGAGTGCGCATTCTTACAAGATGTTTTCACACATGTGCTGTCTGTGGGCTCTGGGACCAAATTACTGGGGATGCAAAGCATTAAGTCAGAACAGGCCATAAAGAAAACAAAGCAATGTCTCCTAGGCTCAGGCATGGTTTTGTTAGTTCTGAAATTAAAAAAAACAAACCAAAAATTCCACACCTGCACCAAAAAAGTAGCATTCTGTAGTTGGTTGAATTTATGCAAGCATGCTTATGTTTGTTTATTTTGTGGAATTCTGCTTTTCAGCACTGCAAGGAGGTAAGGCTGAGGAGCTTCACAAAGTTTTTTAAATGCTCACCCAACTGTCTGTTCACCCAGTTGATACTATGTTCAGCCCCTGTTCTTTCTCTCATTTCTGATAATTTTTCTGGGCATTGTCTTCAGTTTTTGAGTCCCTTCTGAAGACTAGAAATGTGCTGCTTTTAAGGAAAAATGAAAGTGTGTCCAGATGCTGAATGACACCCATTCCGACTGGTGTAATCATGGCCTACATATAGCCACAGCTGTATGTCAGTAACAAATACTTGGCACTCAGAGTGCTTCACATACTTTATTACAGCAATCTTTACAACAGCCGTGTAAGGTAGGTTGGCATTAAACCTGTGTTGCCAATGAGAGTATCTTTCCT